ATTGCATAGACCTCGAGTACACTGTAAAAATATTTGTTAGTTAACAGCTTCTGTATTTTGTGAATTGCATTACGGGATCCCAATCTCTGCTCGGTCGACTTTTGATGTTAAAAAATCATCTCTACAGATTAACAAAGTGACTTTCATTGACATTTTAGTAGTTTGAAATAATATAATGTCTAAAAAATAATACAGAAAGAAATAATCTCTAAACTAAAAAAAAATGTGCTGGCGGTTTATTGCAAGGTTTTTGTATGGTAATATTAAACACCGACCCAGACAAAACATCACTTTAAACTATTAAAATGTAAATAAAAGTCACTTTTTTTTTTACTTTTCAAGGTTAAAAGTTGTTGGAAGAAAGATCAAATTCCCATTTTGCAAATCTAAAGCATGTGAATTACAAAATGTGAATTACAAAATATAGAAAACTGCTCATTTACGACATTATTTACAGTGTAGACTATGAAAGAAACAAAATAGAGCTGAAAAATAGGGTAAATCATTATATGTTTTGATTTGAAATATGCGAAATAGCTAAAGTAAAATTTTAAGGGACAAAAAATCCCTGACTATAGGACAAACAATATATACAAATTCACTGACTTTAAAAATCTGGAAAATCCTTTTAAAATTCCAAGATATTCCATAAATTCCATGACCTGTTGGAACCCTGACTGGCTAAACCACCCAATCCTGTTGATTATTCCACAGGAACTTTGACGTCTGACCTCACAGATCTAAGCAGGCTTCCAGACATGAGCTCATCACCCGGCCACACAGCTGACCTTTGGCATGTGCTCTCCTTCTGTTTACACAATCAAACCTGAGGTGGGTCTCCATCTGTTTTTTTTAGGACTTCCACACATGCTGCCTAAACAAATGTATTCCGAGTCTGATTGGGGTGACACACCTGTTTGTGGTTGTTTCAATTGCTTTTTAACGATTTTCAGTCTCAAGGCCAGCTCTGTGAGCGTCACGTGGAAGCCTCTGGAAGGAGAACATCTAATGCATTCCAGTGAAGCTCTGTTTCCATGTGTGAGAGCAGCACATCTGTTCTGACGCGAGCTCGGTTTCAACAAACTCTCAGACTTACTTGTAGTGTCTGACAAAACTTGCCCGAACCGTTTAGCTTTTTTGCCACATGTCTGAAGGTCACATCTGAGTCATGATTTTTTTTTTTATTACACCAAACCAAACTCTTGGCTTAAACTGAGGCTGTTCCGGAAAGTTCAGTTGCTTTTTATGGACTACAAGTGCAATGGAAATTTTGCAAAGCAATATTGTGGGTTAATTTGTCAGCAGAGTACAATTCTCTTGATGACCACAGAAAATAATCTGTCAAAAAAATTTTAAACCCTAATTTTTCATTGGCTGAAAGTCATATCTAAGTCAAAACTCACCAAATAAAGCATCTTGGCATAAACTGAGGCTGTTCCGGAAAGTTCAGTTGCTTTTTATGGACTACAAGTGCAATGGAAGTTTTAACAGGCTCATTCTGAAAATGTAGCCCTATATACATTTCTGGAGATCGCAAATTGTGTAGCCAGAAGTTCGTATGGCTGCATTTTATCTTTAAAATGAACTCTACAGGCTACCAGCTGGCCGCTTACCTCTGTATGGACGGCTTTTCCGCTGTTACCAGTTTGTTACCTTGTATGTTGGCGGACTTGAAATGCAGCGCGGAGTTGACTACGACAAAGGGGTTTGAGTTTGGTAAAGAACCATTTCAGAAAGCAGGTAAGACAAAAAGAGAAGCCAAAAAAGTTCAATAAACAAGTAAACAACAGGGTGAGAATGTGGTAAAATCTGAAAACATGGTGAAAATCAGGTGAGGGCTTTTCTTTTTCTGGATGGCTTTTTATAACTTTTGGTTGACTAGGAAAGTGGATGAGTGCTGGTTAATCTGTGCTTTTGAAAACACTTTTGGTTGGGTTTTGGGAAGAGAGAGAGTGGGTCAGTCAATCAGTCAGTACATCAGTCAGTCGACAGCAGCCTCTTGTGGATTTACATGAGAACAGCAGGCACAAACGGTTTTCGCAAGAGAAAATTGAGATGTCAAAAAGCTTACACAATGGCCTTTGGTGGATTCGTGAAAACAAAAACTGCAAAAAAAAAAAAAAAAAAAGGAGCTCCTAAGATGTATTTGGCTGACTAGAAATGTGTATAGCGATACGTTTTCAGAATGAGCCTGGGTTGAGAAATTATGTAAAGCAATATTCTGGGTTAAATTGTCAGCAGAGTAGAATGCTGTTGATGACCACAGAAAAACAATCTGTCAAAAATGATACAAAATATTTGTTTAATAGTAATTTTTAATTTTCTTGAATCCCAAATTTTTTTAATGGCTGAAGGTCATATCTGAGTCAAAACTCAGCAAAGAAAAACATTGGCTTTAACTGAGGCTGTTCTAGAAAGTTCAGTTGCTTTTTATGGACTACAAGTGTAATGGAAGTTTCAACATAGGCTCATTCTGAAAACGTAGCTTACAAAACTATTTACATTTCTGGAGATCACAAATTATGTGGCCTGAAGTACACATGACTAAAATGAACTCTACGAGGCGATTTGACACCTTCATTTTCTCACTTACCAGCTGGCCGCTTACCTCCATTTGGACGACTTTACCTCTGTAATCAGTGTGTCCAGTTAGCTTGCCATGTACGTTGGCAGACTTGAGACGCAGAGAGGAGTTGACCGCGATGACGGGGTTGGTGTTTGATGAAGAACAGTTTCAGAAAGTGGGTAAGAGAAAAACAGAAGCCAAAAAATAATAGAAACAAGTTAATCACAGGGTAAGAATGTGGTAAAATCTGCAAATATGGGAAAAATCAGGCGAGGGCTTTTCTTTTTTTGGATTGCTTTTTAAAACTTTCGGTTGGCATTAGAAACGTGCGTGGGTGAGGGGTTCGACAGGATGTGCGAGACATGTCTGAAGAGCTAGGAGGGATGCGGTGGAGAGAGATTAGAATGCTGGGCAACATATTTGAGGACCAAGAGGTAGATGTGTGATTTCGGGAGATTATCATTTGTTTGCAGGCATCCGGGAGTCTCTATGCTTTTGCGAGAGACTCCCCAAACTTCCGGATACTTGGGATATCTGCAAATGGCACTTGCGAGAGAAATCTGAGATCTAAATAAAGCGTACACAGCGGCCTCTGGTGGATTTGCGAAAAAAAAGTACAAAAAAGTAGCTCCTGGCACGTATTTGGTGCTCTTCAGAAATGTATATAGCTAAACATTTTCAGAATGAGCCTGTGTTGGGAAATTATGTAAAGCAATAATCTGGCTTAATTTGTCAACAGAGTAGAATGCTGTTGATGACTACAGAAAATTATTCGAACATCTTACAAAAATGATACAAAATATTTGTTCAATTGCAAAAATGTTTTAATTTAGTTTTTTAAAAATCCTAATTTTTAAAATGATTTTTTTTATGGTGTAAGCATCACAGTATATGTTTTATTCCTGTAAAGTGCTGTCCATTGAGCTGGAATCAACATAAAACAGATTTCCTTGACCACTTCCAGGAATTATAATTCAATAAGGTGACGTACTTCATAAACAAAAGCAAAAAAAAAAGAGTGAATGCAAGAAATCCCTTAAGAAAAGCCTTGACAATACACTGCTTATTGCAACAGGGTCCTTGATTTTTTTCTTTGTTAACTATTGGGAATGGATTGGCAAGTTGCTAATTTGTTGACAAGTGGTTGGACAGGCCAAAATGAAAATCATTCATTCTTTATTCTCTGAAATAAAATGCACTCAACTATAATTCCGGGAACCAGTATTATGAAGTAAATTAGGTTCCTCTTGTCATGTTAAGTTCATCCAAAAACAAAAATTCTGTCATCCTTTTTCTTTCATCTTATGTTTGGCTTTTTGCAACATAGGCTCATTCTGAAAATGTAGCCCTATATGCATTTCTGAAGATTGTGAATTATGTAGCCAGAAGTATGTATAGTTGCATTTCATCTTTAAAACCGAACTCTACAAGGCGGTATGACGGCATTCCTTTTTGCGCTAGAAGCTGACCGCTTACCTCCGTATGGACTGTTTTCCCTCTGTCCAGTGGCTCGCAGCGTATGCTGGCAGACTTGAGACACAAAAAGTAATTGACTGCAATGATGGTGTTCAAGTCAGGTGAAGAACGGTTCCAGAAAGCAGGTAAGACAAAAAAAAGCCAAAAAATAAAATAAACAAGTAAATAACAGGGTGAGAATGTGGTAAAATCTGAAACTATGGCAAAAATCAGAGGCATATTCTTTTTCTGGATTGCTTTTCAAAACACTGTGGTTGGGTTTAGGGAAGTGGGCGGGTTGGTCAATCGGTGCTTTTTAACACTGTGGTTTGGTTTAGTGAAGTGGGTGAGTGGGTGGGGCTAATGGTCAGTCTGTCAAGCTGCGGTCACACTAGAGTTTGAGCATGCGATATTCAGTCGTGTGGCACTGCGAAAAGGGGCGGGATTAAACAAGATGATTAAACATTTTAAAAAGCCAGTGATTGCTCTGTTTAAATTTCTGTCAAAAGAGGTCATGTTTTGATCCTCGATTGGTCTCATGCAGTCAAGTGCACCAAGCTTGAACTTTGCACTGCAGCGACCTGCGAAACTTAGACCCTGCGTTTCCGGTCTGACGCATTCCTGTGCGTATGAATGGAAGTGTATGGGAGGAAAAGCCCAGAGTGACCGCAGCTTTAGTCAGACAGTCAACGGCGCCTCTGGTGGATTTACATGAGAACAGCAGGCGCAAATGGCACTTGTGAGAGAAACTTAAGATCTCAAAAAGCATAGACAGCGGCCTCTGGTGGATTCGCAGAAACAAAAACTGCAAAAAAACTTCGCTCCTGGGATGTATTTGTCGCTCTCCAGACATTTATACGGGGCTATGTTTTCAGAATGAGCCTGGGTTGGCTTTTTTTCTACAATGAATAAAAAAAGAAAATGTAATTAAATCGAACAGAGCCTGCGGTTTTCAAGCATGCAATAATGATGACTGAACTTTAAATTAAACTTTTTATTTAATCCAAAATGTTCCTTTATTTTATCTCTTAATATGCACACTGAGGACCCACAGTAAATGAACAATAATGCTGCGGTTTAATAAATAACAGTTACCACACACAACAATATATGTACATGTTCTCGTACTGCTGAGAATTATTCTAAAAAGACGAAAGCTTAAAAAAAAGACGTGGAAAAACCCAACTCATTCCACTGTAGCATCCTGTGACACAAACACATCATAATTATCCTCCTTGGAAGGTCTGTTTTGTGTCACTAGTTGTCAAGAAGGGTTGGAAAACATCCACCATCACATACTGTAATAGACTCGAGTTTGATATCATTAAGGCCGTCGCTGGTGTGTGGAAAATCTGCTAGTTTGTCATGCTCTCCAAGACTTTCTGCTCAGCACACACACGCAAGCTACATTGATCCTTATGAGTCTCCACGCCACCAGGTTCTTGAATGAAGTCAGCGCACGTACAAATGTATGCGAATTGGTGCAATATGAGTTCCAATGGCGGGCGTCGATCCCTAAACACCCAGAGCCTCCGGTTCGCCCGCTGCTGCAGGTGGTCTCAAAAAAGTATTGCTTTTTCTTGGAGTTGTTGATGATTACGTCAGGTAAAACGGTGACCTCGTTGCCTGTGATGTCTGTGGCTTTGGTTTTATTTCCCTCCCAATGGCTGATGCTCTCGCAGACGGAGTAAACGCCGCGATGTTGAGGCGGTCCTGCTTTCCTCTTGGTCCTGCTCCGGGAGGGTTCAGAGTCGGGCGGGTGTTCGCTGAAGAGCACGCGTGGTGAGCGGTATCGCCTCTTGTTGAAGAGTTTGGGATCCACGGTGGGCACAGTGTTGGCTGTGACATCTTGACCGTGGTGGGGATTTTGTGGGCAGATGTCTCCTGGGCGCCGGGCAAACGTCTGGCTGCAGGACAGGAGCAGCAGGACTAGCATGGACCACCGCATGGGCTCAACGTGACCTGAGTACAACACATATTAATGTTAGCTTTTATACATCGAATAAACTGACATATTTATTCATAGAGATACACAAACACCTTGACTTGCAGTTTTTTTTTTTTTTTTTTTTGCCATCGTAATGCTGCTGCAAGGATTTTAACGAGTACCAAAGGTCATGACTACCTCAAACAAGTCTAACGCCAGTTTCATCATGTTTATTCATTCATTTTCCTTTGGCTTATTCTCTACTTTAGAGGTCGCCACAGCTGAATGAACCACCAACCATTTCAGCATATGTTTTACACAGCAGATGCCATCCTGCCGCAACCCAGTACTGGGAAACACTCATACACACTAATTCACACACATACACCATGGCCAATATAACTTACCCAATTCACCTATAGCACATGTCTTTGGACTCCACACAGAAATGCCAACTAGACCAGCTGGGACCAGAATCAGTGACCTTCTTGGTGTGAGGTCAGTGCTAACCACTAAGACACCGCGCCACCCTACTATTGTGTTAATTTAAACATTTTTCTCTTGGTTTTTAAATCACTAAATGGCTTAGCATCTTCTTACCTGACAGATTTATTGACTGAACATTAGCCTGGGTATTCTTTTCGGTCATCAAACTAGAGATTACTATGCACCACTATATCGAGGCTGAAATGCAGGGGTGACTATGTTTGCAGTAGCTGGTCCTACATTGTGAAATGCTCTGCCACTCTGTATTACATCTGTATCATCTCTTCCTGTTTTTAAATCTAGGCTGAAAACGTATCTTTTTGATTTTGCATTTTATCAGCAAGAATTTCAGAATTTTCTGTTTCTCTTTTGTGAATCTGCATGTCAATCTCACATTCCATCCTTCCCTCACTTGTGAACAAAACCCCAAGATACTTGAACTTCTCCACCTGGGGTTTAGGATTTTCCTCCAACCTGGAGATGGCAAAGCACCTTTTTCCGGTGGAGCACCATAGCTTCGGTCTTAGAGGTCCTGATTCTCACCTCAGCGATTTGTACTGTGCAGCATATTGATCAACATCGTTGTGCTTAAAGGTGTTGTATGTAAGTTTTTGACTCTTCTAAAGCATAAAGATACCAAAATATGTTAGCAGATATTTAGGAACATGCTATGTGAACATTCTTGTTTATCTGACAAACAATGTTGAAGTCAGATATTCTACTTTGAAAATGTGCGTTACATGGCGGAATGTCTGTCTTTCTTTTGGTCATTTAACCCACCCACTACCAGTTTATATGTCAGCACTCTGGGTGACCTTGTTGGAAAACAGCATCTTTCTTTCTTTCTTTCTTTCTTTCTTTCTTTCTTTCTTTCTTTCTTTCTTTCTTTCTCTTTCTTTCTTTCTTTCTTTCTTTCTTTCATGAAGGCTCTCAAAGCATGAGTCTGTGACCGAAATCCGACCTCCAGTGGACAGTAGCCGACTCCGAAATGAGAGACAGATTCAAAGTTCCACATGAGTTTATTAATTAGCAAATAATATAAATATTACTAATGTAAACATTAGGTGAGCAGGTTACATTGTAACCCAGTGTCCCAACAACACGCTACGTTTCTAAAATATACATTTTAGGTGTTGGTTAGGTCAAAACTTTTAATATGAGAATATTCCTTCTATCTAGCCTGTCATTGCTTTTATTCAGAACATGATTTAAATCAGCTCTAAATCATCCTTTAGGTTTGATAGTCAGGCACACCCTCAATCTGGCAACCTGCGCTTGCGTGTGTTTTGATCCAAGAATGAAATTACCTAGTTCAACCACTGGGTATCAAACTTACATACTGCACTTTTAATAGTGCTATATAAATAATATTGACATTGTAGGGGCCGATCACACCAGACAAGCTTTTCAGTTCTGAAAATGCGAGGCGCACTTCACTGCCATTTTGTTGACTTTAAAAAAGAGCAGTGCAGTGCGTTGCGCTTTTTATGTTGCTAGGGAACTACTGTATCAGTGGTATTGGTGCTGGAGCATATGACATGGCGCACTTTCTGACATTTTTCGACCTCAACCGCTCAGAGAGCTCCATCAAAAATATGAGGCATACATTGTACATATTTTGGGTTAACAGAGATAAAAAAATAAATAAATAAATCAGTAAAAGAGTAAGAAAATAACTTGCTGATTCTAGAGGGAAATGACCAGTAGGTTCATCTGACCCATCATGCTGAATGAAGCTCAACAAACTAGGATGAAAAATGTTTATATATACAGTTAAAAATTATTTGCCCTCCTGTGAATTTTTTTCTTTTTTAAACATTTCCCGAATTATGTTTAACAGAGCAAGGAACTTTCCGATAACATTTTTTATTCTGGAGAATGTCTTATTTCTTTTATTTTGGCTAGAAAAGAAGTTTCTAATTTTTTAAAACTATTTTTTTGTACAATATAATTAGCCCTCTAAGGCCATGTTTTTTTTTTTATTGTCTACAAAACAAACCACCATTGTACATCGACATGCCTAATTACCCTAACTTGCCTAATTAATCTAGATAGGCCTTTAAATATATATACTAGCATTAGTATACTTATTTAAGTATACTAGTATAGTTAAATATAAATACTAGTATCTTGAAAAATATCTAGCAAAATATTATGTACTGTCATTATGACAAAGATAAAATAAATTAGTTAATTGAAATTAATTATTTATCTATTTTCTGAATCCCCAACAATTCAAGAATGACTAGAAATAGCATATGATAATTATGTGATGGAAAAAATTACATTCTCGCATCAACTCCAAATTAATGTATTTAGAAATATCTGGTCTAAGTTAACTAAATACATTAGGTTGCTCCATCCATCTTTGTAGAAATATGAAAATGTTACAACCCAATTCCCAACATTTTTCAATTTATGACCCATTTTCAATTTATGAGCCGAGGTTCGAACCAGCGACCTTCTTGCTGTGAGGTGACAGCACTACCTACTGCGACACTGCCTCGCCTCTGATCTATGTTTATTTAGTTATTGTTGATATTATTTTTGTTACCATTTTATTGTTACTGTTATTTTCATATATTTTATTTCATGAAACTTTTGTTTTGTATTGTTTTCTGTTACTGTTTAACTGTTCAGCAATGGGAAATGTACACTCTCAAGTGAAATCATTGTATTGTCTATACTACTACTATAAATAAAATAATAAAAAGAGTTAAAACTATTATGTTTAGAAATGTGTTTAAAAAATCTTCTTTCCTTTAAACAGAAATTGAAGGAAAAATATAAAAGGGGGCTATAAAATATAAAAAGGGGGCTAATAATACAGGAGGGCTAATAATTCTGACTTCAACTGTATGTATCTTTTTCATATAAGTAATGTTGTGCTAGGCAAAAAAAAAGTGTTTACCTGTGAAATGTGTCCAGGTGAAGTGTTTTCTCTGTTCTGTCTTTAGCGTAGATCTCCTGTGCTCCTCATGGTACATGTATCGACCAGCGTGGCATCTTCTGCTTCCAGCTCCTCTGCACAGAGGTACAAAAATGTACGACGCAAGCTATAATTTCATATAATTACCATTTACTCATTTACTCTATACACCATGCTCATGCGGTGCTGGAAAGTCCGATTCATTCTGGTGAATCAGTTCAATTTGGGAAAATTTACAAAAATATTTCGACTTTTTTTTTTTAAACAAAGATTGCTCACTGCTCTTAAAGGGACAGTTCACAGAGAAATTAATATAATTTGAAGAATGCTGTTCACCAGTAGACTTCAACTGTAGAAAAAATAAATAGTATGAAAGTCATTGGCTTCCAGTTTCCAACATTCTTCAAATACCTTCATGTGTGTTCAACAGAAAACAGAAACTCGAGAGTGAGTAAATGATAACAGAATTTAGATTTGTTTTTTTGCTTTTGACTGAACTGCAATTTCAGTTTTTTTTTTTAAAAAAAAGGGTATACTGTAGCAATCTCAAAATGGAGAACTGATGAATTGCAAATTTGCCCAATTGTTCATCTTTAAAGGGCACCTATTTTAGCCTTTTTTAAGATTGAAGTATTTTGTGTCTTCAGAATGTGTCTGTAAAGTTTCAGCTCAAAACACCCATTAGATCATTTATTATACCTTTCAGAATGTTGGAATATTTTACTGTGAACACAATGTAGCTGTTTTTGTGGCCTGTGCCTTTAATGCTAGTTGCATCAGATAAACAGCAAAGTTACAGACATAAAACAAGCAGATCTCGTGTAACATTTGTGAGAAATACTACAGTAAGGATTTTACCAATGATTCTTTAATGCACGTGAATGTAATTTAAGCCTTTCTGCAACAATGAGTCACACACAATGTCATTACAAAATTAATGCACACACAGCATGCGCGTTAACTTTAAACTGTTTTTGCACACAAATGTGACGGGATACACGTTAATATCCACTGCTGTATATGGATATCTGTTATGTTAATGTACAAAATAAACCTGATTTAATGTCCACAAACTGGGATTGAAGCATCTTCTTTTGTAATTGTACTGACATGCGGCTGTGGTGATAAAGATGAGAAAATTGCTGAAATTCATTACAAACATGCACAGCTTTAAAAAAGTTTTATATTTGTAAAACTCATTCTTGATCACATTTGATGATGATTGATGATCAATTTAATCCCAGTTGCTTTGCGCACATCCTGTCTTGTTGATATGATTATATGCGTTACAACGAAGACGTTAATATGCCGCAGTCAATCAAATCAGTGGGTGGCAGTGCTTAATTAGTAAATGATTAATTCCAGGAACAAAACCAGGAAATAAAAGTTACTGGACTGACGTACACCAAACAATTTCAGTTTTCCCAGAACATGACGTCATTAAACGGTGAAAGCCTAAAAAAGAGCATCACATTTCTGAACGTCTTTAATTATTTTGTACCAAGTAACGTTATAGTTCAGTCATAGATAATAAAAACTGGTAGCTACAAACATAATTTGTATGAACAATCACTATTCAGTTCACTTCACTATTATGTGCAAAGGGAAAAAATAAATTATGAAATCACTCCCCAGGTAGCAAAGAAGTGTGCTATAGTGCTGTGTGGGTCACTCAGTCTAATCTTCAAGAAGAGCCCTCAGTAGCTCTTCCGTCATGTTTTTTGGCTGACTTGAGATCGCTTTGCTTCATCTACCTCTATCCTGATCCATTCACGCAGTTTTTTATTTTAGCCAGTATTTATTTTCGATGCTCAATGTGTGCGAAACAATCACTAACCAATGAGAGTGATTATAAACATATAAAGCCAATTGGCTAAAAAATATTGTTGAGGGCCAATAGTTAAACGTGACTTTTGCTTTAACTTGCTTAAGGTATTCACCACACACAAGTTATTGCCGGATCCTCATTCATTCATTTTCAAACGATTTTCCAGGGATGGGTTGCCAGTGCAGCAGTCTTAGGAGAAAACCCCAGACTTCCCTCTCCCCAGACACTTCCTCCAGCTCCTCCGGGGGGATCCCAAGGCATTCCCCGCTGAGAGACATAGTCGTTCCAGCGTGTCCTGGGTCTTCCCCGATGCCTCCTCCCGGTGGGACATGCCTGAAACAGGTAGGCGTCCAGGAGGCATCCAAGGATTCCTGAGCCACCTCAGCTGACTTCTATCGATGTGGAGGAGCAGCGGCTCTACTCCGACCTCTTCCCGGCTGACAGAGCTTCTCACCCTATCCATAAGGGTGCGCCCTGCCACCCTGTGAAGGAAAATCATTTTGGCTGCTTGTATTCGAGATCTTGTCCTTTCGATCATGACCCAAAGCTTCTTTACCACAACGGACCAGTACATCGACTGCATTACTGCTGCCACTGCACCAATCCACCTGTCAATCACACATTCCATAATTCCCTCACTCGTGATCAAAATCCCAACGTACTTGAACTCCTCTACCTGGGGTAAGGACTTTCCTTCAACCTGAAGATGGCAAACCACCTTTTTTCGGTAGAGCACCATGGACTCAGACTTTAAGGTGCTGATTCTTATTCCAGCCACATCACAGATGGCAGCAAACTGCCCCAGATCCAAATCCATTAAAATAAATACAATAAATACCAGAACGGGGGTTGTTGAATCCTATTTAAACATCAGGAAATTTAATAAAAGAGACTTGTTTCTATCACCCTTATATGACAATGACAATGGACACACTATACCTACACATAGTTCTGTCCAAACAGCTTCCAAAAGATGATATTCATCATAGGTGCCATTTAAGGAACTTTTGTCAGCTCTCCTATGACTTATTTTTCTCCAACAGGGAAACCCACCTCATCCGTCCAAACACATTCCTTCCATTGGCCAAACATTGAGGGAAAAAAATGCACATTTCAGCGATGTGTAGTAATCACTGTCAAATTACTACCCAAGCGTAAAACTCGCAGACAAACAAGACCGACCGAAAACCCAAATGTGACACGCATCGACTTGCGCCCCACACCCAAACCATTCGACCGCCACAACATACACAAACCTCCAGTCAATTGTACAGTCTCTCTGTGTGGCTTGAGTCTAGCAACCCACAGCCACTGACCTCAAACTCATTAGCTGTGATAGAGACAATTTAACACGTCCCGTCTGGTTATCGCTCTGACACAAAGAGCCGAGCCAGGCGGTGCTCTCCTTTCAAAACAGTCTGCTTTCATATGGTAACAGTTCCTGGGTGGCATGGGTTTCAGCGTGTAACGTGAGCCCTACTTAGCGCACATACATGCGGCTTTATCTCCAGCCTCCACAGGGCTATGAATTCCAGCGCCTAGAGGCCTGCGTTCGGTGGGCACTCATGTGTGGCAGAGCTCAGGGATGAAGCCTGGCTTTGTGTCGGATCTATGCCTGTGGACTAGAAGTGCCTGTGTTGACTGTATCTGGTTTAGTGCGAGGCGAAGAAGAACTTAGGTGAGAGAGTTTACATCTTTTACCATACACTGAAAAAAAATATTAATTGAATTTAGATTCTTTTAAGATAAGTGGTTGTAAACAATGTGTATAGTTGTAAACAATGTATACTTGCCTTAAAAACAATTAGTAAATCCAATAAATCATTTTTTTTTTGTGTAGCATTAAATAATATGAGAATCATCCAGGTTTTTAGAATGAGGTGAAATGACACGCATGCTTATACCATCTAAAAAAGAAGATGAAATAAATAGCCTGATTAAAAAAAACAGGTATAATTAAAAAAACTACTCAAATGTCCATGATATGAATAAATGTATTGTAATAAGTTTTAAAAAATGGCTATTTATATTTATTTTTTTAAAACCTGTTCTGTCCTCCTGAGACCCCACCCACTGACTTGTGCCCTCTGTAGTGGACATTGTGTTTTCATGAATTTTCTTTGAGTTTTTTGAGCTACTCTGTTAAGTCCTGTTATACTGTTTAGAGTTTAGAGTGTTGTAGTGATATGTTATTTGATTGGCTGGCATGCTAGGAACCACTTCTTACACTGTATCCAAAATGGCCGACATACAAAAAAGCATATTTCATGGGAAGGAGAAAGGCATGTAAAATTTAGCTTTTAAAATGTTTTTTACTTTTATTATTACATATATATTTATTTATTAAAGTGTCAGGAGCAATACATTTACCCTTTAAAAGTGTTAACTTGTTTGTGTTTCAAAATATCATGCTTTTTTAAATGTCCACTATAGTGGACACCAGGACCATCTTAATGTAATTAATGACTGCATGTTGTAGGAGGCAGAACTGAAGCAGAGAGGATGCTTTATAAGATAGTTGAGGGAGACTCTGATTTAGAGTCTGACAATCAGACAATTAGAGAAAATTAGAGAATGACAATCAGTTGTAAATTGCTTTTATGTTAAATTTGTTTTGGATTAACATCACTTCTTATTTTGTTTTTATTTTGTTTTTGAGTTCGGCTCTGTTTCAGGAATTTCAATACAAAGGAAATATGGCTTTTGTTTAGTTTTTGTTACATTAATATGAATTATTATCCCTTTACAGCCATATCCTGTACAGTTTTGTTGTTTGAGTAGCAGTCGTTTTTAACTTAATTGATACTATGGTCCACTACAGTGGACATGCTGTAAAATTAAAAATAAAAATTCAAATGTAATCAAAATGTAAAATCATTATTAAACATGTAAGTGACATTCTAAGTCGGTCTCTCTCTTTTTTTTAATCTTTGATTGCAGGTTTTAAGAAAGAATATATTAAGAATAAATTTTAAATAATTGAAATTAAAATATAAATATCACATTTAATAAAAATTTTAAATGTAAATATGTTTTATTTTAAAAACTACTGATAACATTTGTTTAAAATTGGAATTTTAACCTCACCTATATCAAAGAGCTTAGAATCACCAAGAGGCGACACTCAATAGAACATTCCATTGCAACAGGAGCGCCCAGCAACAGCCCCGGATTACGCCATTTTGGAGTAAAAGCGATCGGCTGTCTATTGGATCTTATTGCAGTCCCGTTGACAAGTAGCTGCATTGTTTTTTTATTTATTTATTTAA